CCCATCAGGTAGAGGATCAGACACAGGAACGTAAATGAGTAGCCCTTTCAAGAGTCAGGAAATGAGAGAGAGAAAAAAAAATGTTAAACCCATCTCCTGACTGATGTAGTGCAGAAATGGAAACCAGGTGGACTCTCACAGATCTAACTGAAAGGCCTGAGGATTTCAGGTGCAACATATAGTCTAGCACATGTGTAACCTCTGTGTGGTGGGGTGATAAATGATGAGATTGCATCCAAATTGAATCTTCCACTTTGCTGCTTTTGTGGCTCTAGTGGATTCTCTTCTGTTGCTCACCAAGATGTCCCCTCATGGCCCTCACCAAAACAAATCAAGCAGCTCTTCTGCCTGTCTGTGAAAATGCTGCATGTGGCACACTACTTAATACCTGGGGATTTTGTCATACTAAAACTCTCCAGGTAGCTACAAAACTAAACAACTACTAAATATTACTACTATAACTATATACACTGAAAAGCTCTAAGGTGCTGGCTAATCAAAGCAAGTGGTAAGGGCAACTCCAACTCTCACCAAGGGTGATGAGCCACTGAAAGGAACACAGCAGACACACCCCTTTTAAGCCCTTGCCTGTGCATGAGGAGAGCAGAGCCGTATGCGCCACTTATTTAATCGGCAGTACCACTGTCTCCGACTTGAGTGCATTGGGCGCACATATATCTGCAGTGTAATGTAAATGTGCAAATCACTTGAAGAAGAACTTAACTTTCTAAATGCTAGGAATGCTTGAAGCACAGTAAGCTTTCTATAAGTAAGCCAAGAAAGCTGTCCATGGGTGCACAGCAACACATATAATGGACACAGGAGAGGGGGGGCTCTTCTACAAACTTGAGAAAAGGCCATACATGATATCAGCAGTGTCAGTTAAATCAGTGCTTCTCAAAGTCGGGCCGCCGCTTGTTCAGGGAAAGCCCCTGGCGGTCCGGGCCAGTTTGTTTACCTGCTGCGTCCACAGGTTCGGCTGATCGCGGCTCCCACTGGCCACGGTTCGCTGCTCCAGGCCAATGGGGGCTGCGGGAAGCGGCGCGGGCCGAGGAATGTGCTGGTGAACCGCGGTCAGTGGGAGCCGCAATCGGCCGAACCTGTGGACACGGCAGGTAAACAAACGGGCCTGGACCGCCAGGGACTTTCCCTGAACAAGCAGCGGACCAGCTTTGAGAAGCACTGAGTTAAATAATCCCCTCATCAACTTTCTAAGAAGCATACAGAAATCTTAAAATAAGATTTTTTTTAAAAGGATCTGTTCTAAACTGGGTGGATGACCAGCACCAAACTTAACAATGACCTGCGAATTTCCAACTTGAAAGTATCCTCCTATTTCATTTTGGCTAAATTGCTTTGTGACGAGTTCCTCCTGGGGTGTCACCTGGAACTGGGGTACCACTAAGCCCTCTGACCCACTAGACAGGACTCCCTCTCACACTGTGCTACTGTGACAAGCTGTAGACCCACTCCCGGTCCTACACTTCCTCCAGCATTCACACAGGTAGGGACACACCCAGCTGCTGTTACATGCAGGCTCTCTGACCAGCCACTGGATGAACCAACAATAGAGAAGCTACAGCCAAAATAACCACCAGCTTCCCAGCCTAGGACCCTCCCCCTGGAGAATAAACCCAAAATTATACCATCTACACAGGGAACTGTATAGTGTAAGTGTAAAAGGTTCCTGCCGGGGCTCGACCCTCCAGGGCAGGAGGGGAGCCACACCGACTCCCTGTCCACGAAATAAACAGTCTGTTAGCTCAGCTCTCAGTCCCTTCGGTGCAGGGCTGAGTAGTCCACAAGCGGTGCAGCAGCCCAGGCCCTCTGGTGCAGGGGGGCTGGGCAAACACACAGTTCAGGAGGCCAGGCCCTCTGGTGCAGGGGGGCTGGCTAAACAAGCAGTTCAGTTTAGGGGCCCAGGCCCTCTGGTGCAGGGGGGCGGGGACACTAGCAGTTCAACGAGGGAAGGCCCAGGCCCTCGCTCAGGGCGGGGCCCACACCGACACTGCTCAGGCCCTTGGAAGCAGGGGCGGAGCAGCTACACAGCTACGGAGCTCAGGCCCCCTTGCACAGGGGCTGAGCAACACTCACTCGGGGGTAAGCCCTGGCGCCGAGACCAGAGCGTTGGGTGAGGGGGAAGCCTGCCACCCGTGTGTGGGGTGGCAGGGGGGAACGCAGGCCCACCCACTCCACTGCGTTCCAGCCCGGGGCCCTAACAGCGGTTACTGCCGCTGCCGGTCAGTGGGGTATCCTGACCGAAACACACTGACATGGGTTCGCATGCCTCGACAGCCTGACCGGGGTCGGCTACCCCCGGGCTACTTCCAATCTCCCCCTCGGGGCCTACCTCGTCCGCGGCACCGGGCAGGGTCCAGTCCACCAGCATAGGCTCCTCCCAGCCGGGGCTTGGTGGCAGGTCCGGCAGCTCCGTCGGGAAGTCCGGCCAGTTGTACTCGGGCGGTTCCTCCGGGTAACAGCAGGGCCGAAGGGGTTCTGGTGCGGTCTCACCTTCGGGGTCGCTGTGGGGGGGCTCCAAGGGCTCCCCCCAATGACGGGAACGGACGGGCTCCGGCGGCTCTTCCTCGTAGTGAGCCCGGGGCAGCTCCGGCCAGCTAGGCGAATATCCCCGGGCCTCAGAGGTATCCTGGTCGGGAGCTCTTGGCCGCACGTCTGCTCCCTGCGGTGGCCGGCGCCTGACTGAGCTCTGGCTGCCAGGCTTTATACTTCCTGTCCCGCCCCTTGACTTCCGGGGGGCGGGGACAGGTGGCGGTGGCTCCGCCCACTCAGGTGTCTGCTCCAGTGCTCCCTCCTCTGGGCAGGAGGGGAGCCACACCGACTCACTACACAAAGCTTATAGAGTTCACCCCTCCCTCAATGTGGAGTGGAAATGCAACAGCCCCCTGAGCTAAGATCCCCAAGCACTTCACTCCAAACTTACTGGTTTTGATTAAAACATAAAGTAAGTTTATTAATTACAAAAAGATAGATTTTAAGTGATTATAAGAGATAGCAAACAGATCAAAGCAGATCACCTAGTAAATAAACAAAAACGCAAACTAAGCCTACGATAGGTGAAAGATAGGATATGAATTAGCAAATTCTCACCCTGGCTGATGATACAAGCAGGCTGTAGATTCTTAAGGCGCAAGCTACTCTTGTTATGCAGCTTGGGATCTCCACATTTTCTTACACAGGCTAGAAATCCCTTTAGCCTGGGTCCAGCACCTCCCCCAGTTCAGTCTTTGTTCCTCAGGTGTTTTCAGGAGTCCTCTTGTGTGGGGAGTGAATAACAACAAATGATGCCACTCCCTGCCTTATATAGCTTTATCATATGGCAGGAACCCTTTGTGCCAAACTCAATTTGTGGAAAAACACTGACATCCCAAGATGGAGTCCAGAGTTACATGCCCTTGCATACTTTGCTGAGTCATAGCAGTCATTACTTACAGGCTGTCTGGAATGTTCACAGGAATGTTAAGTTCTTCCATGGTCCTTTGTCTTTGCAGATAGGCCATCAGCACTGTCTGGCTTCTTCATTGTTCTACCTGAAAGGTAGTTGTGGGTGTCGCCTAGAGTAAGCACAATTGAAATACAGATACATAGTCAACATTCTTAAATTTAGATACAAAAATAATACATGCATACAAATAGGATAATCATATTCAGCAAATCATAACTTTTCCAATGACACCTCACATGACCCGTCTTGTACAAAATGCATCATAATAATATCACTATGAAGAATATGGGGTGCAGTGTCACACATCTGATCCCAGGTTGACAGAGACCACCATGACCTCTCTTTAAACTTTTATGATCTATGGAAGAGTTTCTCTCAGATTCTAAATATTGTTATAGAATGTCCATTACCATCACAGAAGTTAAAACAGATGGCATTTATGTACAGCTTAAAGAAGTGGTCCCCAAACTGTGGGGCATGCCCCCTAGGGAGGCACAGAGGAATGTTCAGGGGGTGCAATGGGGACCGGGCCAGTCTCCATAGGGGGAGGGGAGGGTGCACCACCCAGTCCCACTCTGCCCACAGCTCTGCTCCAGCCCTGCCCCAGTCCTGGCTGCAGCTCCGGCACCAGCCGCATCCCTCCTTCTGGCCCTGGCTCCTGGCCCCAATCCTGGCTGTGGCCCCATTCCCCAGCTCTGCTCCCAGCCCCAAATCCCTACCCTGACCCCAGTTCCACTCCTGGCCCTGGTTCTGAACCACAGCTCCCAGGGAAGCACGGACAGGTTCCATTATGGGTAAGGGGGACGCAACAGAAAAAGTTTTGGGACCACTGGCCTAAAGGGCTAACTCCTGAAGTCCAGATGAACTGCACTTTGCACAGGACCCAGCCTGGGGTGGGGAGGGGGGAAGGAAAGAAAAGCAGTTGTACGTCACCTTTATGCCTCTGAGATATGTCACTGGGAGCAGGTTCAGCTTCTGGTGTAAGTTACAGCAGTTCTAACTTGCACTCTTGTTGCAATGGCCCCCAAGGGCTACTCAGGCAGCTGCTGATTGGCGAAGTATAGAGATGTTCCAGTCTTCCCCTCTTCACCCCGCCACTGTGGGAGAGAAGGAACAGGATGGGGACAGTGTAGGTTGGATACGACCAGCCCTGTGCTACCTAGACATTCCCCATATACTGGGGAATCCTCACATTTTGGCTAATCCAGTTTTGCAGCCTTGCACTGGCTGACTGTCAAAAGCAGCTGAAGTGAGTGGCAGGTTCTGCCTAATGTGTTTTGTGCTTTCTGGACAGATAGTAGAAAGATCACATATTAATGTACATGATTTCAATGGGGCTGCACAAGTCAATACAGATACAGTACTGTGTGCACAGCTGACATTTGGATTAAAAATAAAAATGCTTTCTCTACTTACGGAATCTTTTCCACTTGGCAAACATCTTGTGATGTGGATTCCAGCAGAATGGGACTCAGGAAACTTTCGTTGTAATCTTGACTCAGCCACTGACAGACTCCCTTTGTGACTATGGGCAAATCGCTTAACTTCTAAGTATTACTTGTATGGCTCTGTTTTTCTTACTTATTTGTCCTTGCCTGAGCATCATTGACATCAGCAGAGTGCTAGGAACAAAATTAGTGAATTTGTGATTCCAGAAACCAATCAGGGCACTTTCAAAGTAAGGTCCTGCTCAATAGGAGTAAGGGTGGCAGAGTGTGACTGTAGCAACTAAGCCTCTGAGCAAAAATTGATTTTTCTGAAACATAGTGGTGGGGTTGCAGTGTTCATTTAGGCCCAATTCCTTAGTCACACACTAACACTATCAGTCTTCCTTTCCATCTTCAGCCAGAATCCTCTTTTTCCTACCTGAATCTGTGAGAAATGCTTAAGTTAGAAATCACAACTCAGTATTCTGGACGCGATTGTGTTGTCACAAATGCTGAACATCCCTGAAAATGATGTGGCAGAAGTAACAGACTGATTGTACATAAATAAAGCTTCTATTTGACGCCAATATCTTGGTCACCATAAATAATGGAAAGGTTGTAAAGGGAAAAAACAACATTAGTGGGTGCTCAGATACTATGTGAGGAGGGCCATGTAAGTGCTTGGGAAGAGTGTGGCAGTACCTCTTTAATACATCGCTAAATTCACATTTAGCAAGTTTTTTATTTTAATAAAAATATATCAAACTGCCAGGTGGTTTCTTCTAGATTTGCAAATAGATAAAGCCCTGATATTAAGCAGTCATTTTCATTAGTGTTTAAATGTCCCCATCAACAATGAGATTATGGAAGAGAGAGGCAGCTAAAAAGACTGATGATGTAGAATTAGTCAAGTCTGCCATATCAAGCCAGCATCGTCTGAGGATGCTGCTGCCCCATCAAATTCTTCAGTTATTGTAGATTCTCACATTCAGTATAACAGAACTGAGTTTTCTAGTTAATGGTCTAAAGCAACATCGAATAAATACAAATAGTTCAATCTTCCTATGCGGTCACCTCCTCCCACACTGGTGAGTATAATTAGGAAAATGCTACATTGCATGTCTTGAATAGTGAATGTAGCTGGTTGTTAATCATTATATTTACATAGTTTATATGAAAAATATTTAAATTCATGAATGCTCTAACTTTTCTTTGCCATACCATTAAAACTTGAAAAGTGCCTCAATGTATAATACTGTATTGGTAGCTTATTGATTTTTTTCTGTGGTATCCTCTTGAGAAAATTGTTGGACAACAAAATTCCAGGTGTAAGAAAACTTTTAGTTTAAAAAGAGAGATATTATTTTTTGATGAACATGTTGCGGGGAGATGGAGATACACAGTTGTAAACTGACAGAGAAGTACATTCACATTAACAAATAAGCTGTAATATATTACAAAATATTGGAAAAATCTGTCTTATGGAGCCTATTTTGCAGAATGAATTGTGAAGTATATTTTATCTGTATTTTACACCAGTGTAATATTGATTTCCTACAAAAACAAACTAGATAAAAGATTTACGTGAAGCATAGGAAATCTCATTTGACCAACAAACAGTAACTGCTTCATATCTGAAGTATGAACAATGGCAAAATCAGAAATGGTTCACATATTTTGATAATTAAAAAAAAAATTGAGAACATTGTTAATTTTTTAACAAAATCAAGCACTTGAGAGCACCAAACGATTAATAATGTAAGAAGTAATTTGTCTTCGCTAATGAAGTCAGTGGTAAAAATTGTAATGTGGCAATTTGTATGAGTGGATATTTCCAAATAGATTAATAAAAGACCGAAAGAGGAAAAAAACAGTGAAGCAGAGTTTTGAGATATAATAGATTTTAAGAAGTTTCTGGTAACAATAATTACTTTAAAAACAGTGGCCAAGATTTTCCAAAATGGCTAGTGCTTTTGGGCAACTTGGTTCATGGGTGCCCAGTTAGAGACACCTCAAGGCCTAATTTTCAGAAGGTAAGTACTCAGTACTTTCTGAAAATCAAGCCCCTTTAGAAGTCTTAGGCTGGTCTCCCAAAAGTGAGGCACCCAAATCACTAATCATTTTACAAAACACTGATTAATAAGAGTAGCTTGATTCTCTTAGGCATGTGAAATGGATGACTATGCAAGAGTCAGCTTCAGCAGTGGAACCCTGTCTATCCTCATCACTAGAAAATACATACACAGTGCTGTCAGCCCCAAGCATTCACAAATTACATGTCAGGAACCAAAAACTCCTGAGATTTGCTTTAAAATAATGGGATTTTAAAAAAATAACGTTTGGATCTTTTTTATTTCCTCTTTGGTTTTCGAGCATTTAGAGTTCACATACCCCACCTTTCCTCCACAATCACGAGGGCTAGAAATCTACTCATTTTTAAATGAAAGATGAAATTCTCACTTATTTACATGACTCACAAAGATAGGGCTATCAAGGGGGGAGAATCTTGAAACTACACCAAGAGTCGGTTACACTGCTGTGAAAACCTGGCCCATTTCCCACCTCTGGATCCAACTCCTGGACCCCATGTCCTCCTGGGTCTGGGTAGTGCTGATCACTGTTCCTAGGTCTCGGTGTCTCTTTTGCAGTCCCAAGGTGTAGACCCCATGTCTGGCACCCTACTTGGGCAGTGGAACCCCATGGCCCAGCCGTCTACATCCTGAAACCAATACCACAGCCCTCCTAAGTCCCCAGTTTCTTGGATGTTTACCCCTAGGACTATACCTGGCTGTGGAAGGGACAATCATATGTCAGTAATGCCAGGAATATAGGTTTAGCAAAGGAATTTCTTAACTACAGAGATTCTTACTCTTGAAAGCACTGAAGAGTTACAGAGCCTTGAAGAATAACAAACAGTCCTAACCACAACCTCCCTGATCTGAGCTCACCCACTCCTGTGAGTCCTGCGTTTGGTCAGAGTCCGTTAGTCAGGCAGCCTTTCCTGCTTTCTGGCTCTGGTTGTTTTCCGTCTAGTGTTGGTTGGTCCTGTGACTCACAACTCCCTTCTTCAAAAAAATAAAAATAAAATAAAATAACCTTGTGACGGGCCTCTCCATAAGGCTTTATGGAATGTGCTTCTGAATGTATATGACATAACTGGAATATGTTTTAGGCTACATATGCCATGTAACATATCTGTGTAAAGGTCATGATCTACTGAATGTATTCATCCTATTTGTATGCATGTATCATTTTTGTATTCAAAGTTATGAATATTGGCTGGGTACTGGCTTGATTTTAACTAGCCTAATAGAGCATTTGGTCAGCTTCTTGAGAAAAGTGCAAATTAAGTGCCCAATCAAAAACCACTTAAGCCAACAATGAACTTGAAGATGCCAATCCACATCTGAGCCTTCCCAGGAATGTGGCTTGGCTGGTAAAAACTGAGTCATGCATGGACATGTGGCTTGCCCATGTGACTCCAAAACTCCATCTTGGAACTGGACTTTGCATAGGAGTGAGGAGGGGGTCTCCACCCACAAGAGAAAGTCTATTTAAACCCCTGGGAGACCCCTCCATTTTGTCTTCAGCTGGCTAAAGAGAGAGTCTCTCCACCCCCAAGGATACCTGAAAGAAACTGGAACAACAGACAGTCACTACAGGGGGTGTGAGTGATTGCTGGACCCAGACTAGCAGGAGACTAGTCTGTAAAAGGAAGCTTTCTGGAACTGGTGAGGTTTTATTTATATTCAGTTTCTTAGACATAGACTTGCGTGTTCTATTTTATTTTACTTGGTAATTCACTTTGTTCTGTCTGTTACTACTTGGAACCACTTAAATCTTACTTTCTGTATTTAATAAAATCACTTTTTACTTATTAATTAACCCAGAGTATGCCTTAATACCTGGGGGGGGGGGGGCAAACAGCTGTGCATATCTCTATCAGTGTTATAGAGGGCGAACAATTTATGAGTTTACCCTGTATACGCTTTATACAGAATAAAATGGATTTATTTGGGGTTTAGACCCCATTGGGAGTTGGGTATCTGAGTGTTAAAGACAGGAACACTTCTGTAAGTTGCTTTCAGTTAAGTCTGCAGCTTTGGGGCATGTGGTTCAGACCCTGGGTCTGGGTTGGAGCAGACAGGCGTGTCTGGCTCAACAAGACAGGGTGCTGGAGTCTCAAGCTGGCAGGGAAAGCAGGGGCAGAAGTAGTCTTGGCACATCAGTTGGCAGCTCCCAAGGGGGTTTCTGTGATACAACCAGTCACAAACCTTCTCTCCTCTTTAGTCAGCTAGAGAAATTACAGCTCTCCCAGGCCCCGTGTGGGGGATTTCAGCCACCAGACGTGTTTCTGTGTAGAGAGCCCATTCAAAGTCAATGGTCCTTGCCAGAAGCAAAACCATCCTTTTGTAGGAAATAGTCATTCAACACTGATTGCTTGTGAGCTCTCTAGGAGGTGCTGCACCCCCTACCATGAGCTCAGTATCCAGAATACACTGGCCTTGTCAAGGCTAGACTGGTTTGTTTCACTCACGGAACAAGAGTTAGCACACAAAAACAGAAAGCCAACACAAAATGAAGTTCACCATTTGACACAGACTGCAGTCACAACCGCAATGTTGCCAACATGTAAATGTAACAGTATTGCAAGTCCCACAATTCTGCCCTCTTCTTCAGGAGCTCTTGTGAGGCTATAAGGTGTGCCTGTCCTCACATGGACTTTGAAGCAGGTGTCTGCACTCACCTCCCTCCCACTTTCAGCAGCCATCTGCTCTCCCCTCCATGGCCCATATAAGTACCTGCTTCCCTGATCCCTTCCCTCCCCTGAGTGTCCTTATCCTACCCGACTCCTGGCTCCCTTGAGTCCTGCCCCCTCCCACTGTCTCAGCCTTTGTTGCTCCTCAGCCCCAGAAGGTACTTGCTACCCAGCCCCTCCCCCATCACTGGCTCAAGCCCTCCCTATTTCTGACTACCTACAGCCCCTGCTTCCCAATCTGACCCCTTCCCTCCTCACCCATCTCTCCCAGTTACCTGGCCCCTTCCTTGCCCTCCCTCCCACTAACCCCACTCTCCACTCCGAGCCCTGGCAGGTATCAGATATCCTCCAGCCCAATCCCCACCTCCTCCCAGTAATCTGGAACTCCTATACCCAATCCCTTCTATCTCCTCACTCTCATTGTCTCAGTGTTCACCACTCCCCAGCCTCAGCAGGTACCCACCACCCAGCACCTTTTCTCACTACTCTGTTGCCTAAAAGGAACCTGATGCCCTGAGCCCTTCCTGCTCCTGGCGTCTACAGCCACTTACTCTGCCCGCCCCCAGAGCTTCTGCCCTCTCATCCCACAAACTCCTCACCGCATCTTCCACCCCACCCACTCTCAGAGTCTTTTGGGGGGAATCTCATGGTCTTGATTTCCCCCACTACTCCACAAGCTTCTCGGGCTAACTGGCTGACTTGCTCCTCATCTTTCTTTGGGGGACTGACAAGGTGGCCCATTCTCCTCCCCAGTCTGATGAGATGCCACTCTCAGTGGCTAGGGCCAGCCTTCAGTCCCCTTCCTCATGCAAACAGAGATCAATTGGGGGGAATCCCTTTTCGCTCTGGGAGTGGGGAGGTAAAAATGGTAATTCCTCCTCTGTCTCTCTCCCTACCTTGTGGGACTGGGAGCTAAGGCTGAGCCCCACTGCCCCTTCCTCCTTTACCCCACTGTCTGGGGGGTACATGTACATTGTTACAGGGAGGCATTTCAATATACCCTTTCAGTAATGGCTGCACTCTGCCTCACAAGCAGTTGCTTGGAGTAGCATTGTCCTGGTTGCTCACCCTGCAGCAGCAGCAGCATCCTCTCAACCCCTCTGCCTGAAAATCTGCCCTTCCCCATGCCGTCCTCTCCTGCCATGGCTGCCCCTCCTACTGCTGATCAGGAGTAAGAGAGAGCTAAGGGTAAGTCTATACTACCCGCCGGATCGGCAGGTAATGTTCGATGTGTCGGGGATCGATTTATCGCATCTCGTCTGGCTGCAATAAATCGATCTCCAAATCAACGCCCGTACTCCACCTCGGCAGGAGGAGTAAGCAGAGTCGACGGGGAGCCGTGGCAGTCGACTCGCCGCCGTGAAGACAGCCAGGTAAGTCGAACTAAGATACACAACTTCAGCTAGCTGAAGTTGCGTATCTTATTTCTAAACCCCCCCCCCCCCACTAGTGTAGCCCAGGCCTAAGGTCTGACTCCTACATCTTCCTCTGTATCCCCCAATCCTGACAAAGGGCTTCCTGCAGCAGAGCACTGGGCTCTGGGGTAGTAGCAGGGCCCACAAGAAGGTAAGGGGGGTACGAAGTGATTATTGTTGGGGAGAGGGTGGCAGTAGCAACTGACTTTTATGGGGCAAATGAAGTTTTGTGCAGCTCCATGTGTGATGCTCCTCGTCTGTGAGAAAGTCTATAATGTCCCTCCCACCTTCCCTCCTGCCCTTCAACCCCATGCAGTGGCAGCAGAGAACCATGGAGGGGAGATTAGTGACATTTTTACATTGTAAAGAAACCTCACACATGGAGCTGTGGAAACGCTGGCAGCTAAGGGAACAAGTGGCTGCCAGGGCCTGGGAAAGGCAAGAGCTAGAGAGCAAGACCTACAGGCACCTGCTCCAAATCTGCATAAAGGCAAGAGCCCTTCATGTTATTGCCAGAGGAATTGCAGCAGGGGCCAAAATCTTTTACTTGTAGTAAATATGCCAGATTGGCCATACTGTGCTTGTCACAGACTCATTGGGAATAGGCTGGGGAAATAAAGTATCAGAAGACAGACTAAAAACTGTGATTTTTAAAGAGGCTCATTATGTTTTCAGGTCTGACTCGTGATCTTTGAACTCATGGGGCAGGCGATACATTTACTCTGTATGTAGTTGCAGTATTTTAAACAGACAGAAACCATAACAGATAATGAAGCACACATTTCCCAGCACATACAGTATGTGATCATCCTCACAAAGGCCTGCCAAGTGCCATGCATCTTACATGACACTCATACACCGAGTCCTGCTGTGTCTCATTCCCTAAGCCCTACTGTAATGTCACACATCAAGCAGGCAGAAAGGTTTGCCCTACAATTACTCATTCCCACCACTGGAGCCACTGTGACACTTGCTAAACAGCTAGCCAAGCTGTCTCTCCTCCTCCCGTCTCGCTGCGCCTCTTCCTGGATCAGGAAGGAGAAGCAGCCAGCATTGAGAAGTAGGGAAGGAAAAGATAGTAGCTATGACCAGCGGTGACACAAAGTGAAGGCCTTCTCATGCTCCCCACTGCTTGCTCGCTCTCCCAGACCTGTCACCCAAACCCACTACCACCTCCCTCCTTCCCCAAATCCATCGAAAATCTTATGTTCCATAATTATGCAGCTGCAGAATTTGCAGCTACACCCATGATACATTGTGCTCCAGAATCTAAATTTTCATTACAAAAAAAAACCCAACAACACACACAAAACAAAACTTGTGCCTTATGATTGCAAAGATAACCTTGAAAACATGAATCAAGAGTAATGCAGGTCTACACTAAAAAGTTAGGTCGACCCAGCTACATCACTCAGGGGCGTGAAAAATTCACACCCCTGAGAGATGTAGTTAAGCTGACCTAACTCCTTGTGAAGACAGTGCTGTCAACCTTGCTACCGCCTCTTGGGTTCGTGGATTAACTATAGCCATGGGAGAACTGCAGCATTTCTAGTGATATAGCCTAATTGATGTAGTGTTGTCTTTTCTAACCATAGCTCTGAGAGGTGCTAACCGCTGTCAGTCAGCTCAATGACTTGTTAATTTTGAAAATTAACAACACTTCAATGTCATCACTGTTACCTACTTCACTGCTGATCATCTTCACAGAAATGTCCAGTTAATTTATCACACAATCCAGAAAAAACAACACAGGCACTGCAGTACTTTGTTATTACTCTTATACTTAGTTCAATAACACCCCCTCCCCAATTATTCATTTATCTTTAGCTGCTGCAGAATTTCTACCACCTTGCCAGGAAATTCCAGAGACTATGCAACAAAATTTTAGTCTATCTTGTTTGAATATAAAATGGGGCTTTGCACATAAAAAGCACTAAGGACACTGGTGTAGGAGAAACACTTATGGAAAAGTAGTACTTTAAGTATATTTAATAAGTTCAACAAGATTATCTATTTAAGGCACAGTGTACTCAGAACAAAGTACAACTGTCGGGACTGAAAGGGTGGATCACTCAATCGATTTTGGCTTTGTATTAATGTCACCTATTGGGAACTTTTACCATTAGTAAACAAAATTTTTCTGTAGTAATAATGGCAAAATTATTTCCATTCATTAAAAGGAATATCAGTCCTGACTGAGTTTTTTTTAATTAATTTTTAACAAACAGAAATGTTTTCACATTTAATTTAAAACGTGCAGTTATAGAAGTGAAAAACCCTATTGAAAGGTTCATAGTGTACAAACACGCCCCCCCAAACGAAACTCATTGGTGATTCAGTATTAGAGACAGAGCAGCCACTAAAATACAAGCAGCCCATGGGTACTACTAAAATATCTACCAACCCAATATGTCAACCAGCTGAGGAACACCAGTTCTGAACATGGGCACTTAGATCACACATTGGGGCACTCAAATGGGTATTTAAGTGCATAGCATGAGCAGTTACGCATCTGAGAACCCATATGAGTACACTCATGTACAGCACAGACATCCACTTTTGGAACATCTCTGCTATATACTTCTACTAAATGCTTCTTTCCGGAAAACTAAAGCATCTATTCCTGAGTTAGAGCTCCAAATGCCCCTTAATATCCTCCCAGTGGTCAGAGCAACCTACATTTTTCAAAAGTTGTTAATCCAATCTTTAGTTTTATGACTGTCACATACAACAATATGCTTTTTAAAAGGGGTGGGATTCTTCATAAATTGTAAACATACCTGTGAAGTACCTCAATCCATGGCTGAGGTATACATTAAGATTCCTTTGTTGTTAAGCAGTAAAAAGTGCGGCAACACTCTGCAATAGATAAAATATTATTAGTAAACTGCACTTTGGGAATTCTGCATGCATTATATAACACAGTTTTGTTAACTGACCCCTTTAAAGCTTTAAAAGCCAAAATTTTCAGCAATTATAGTATTCTTGCAGTGAGCTCATTAGAAGTAAAGTTGCAGACTTGAAACCATTTCTAAGTTGATATGTTTTGCCCCGTGATATCTCCCAGAAATAGAGAGAGTACATAATAATCCAATGCCTCATGCAAAATCAATTATTTTTTTAGTTCAGGATCCTCAGTCACTGAAACAGGATATTACTTTATGTTCTGAACAATACCTTGTTCTAGTTTCTAAGGAAACCAGTAGCAAAACTAAGTTTACAATGATGCATCCTCAAGAAATTGACTACAATGTCAGTCTCCAGGGTATCATTACAAACTGCTATTTGCATTTAAATTTCTATAACCCTTAAGCAACTGAATTGTTTGTTTATAAGCACGGATATGATCTATCAGGTACCTGGGTGCTATTCCCCCCCCCCCAGGTTAGCAATATATTGGCATTTAACTATGTGTAAAGCTAGCTTCCATATCTGAAATACCATTTTTACATTTTTATTTTAGAATTTTGTTTCCATACACAGTGAGACTGCTGTTCAAGCCTCGATGCATAACGTGCGCTTCATTAATTAACGTTGCTCATTTTGTTGCACACGTGGTAGCAACTAGGCTAAGTGATGTTGCTGTGTGTTACAAAGAACAAGATTCTACAAAAACAATATCTATTTTGCACGCAGGGCTTCGGGAGTCTTGGGCTAGGCAGTGTGGTTACATGCTCCTAGGGGAAGTCAAGGAAAACCCCAGATTTTTCTTGACAGACACTTGCCTCTTTTGTCAAAAAGAAACAACAAATATTCTGATGAGTTACTGATGCTTTTATAGTTGAAAACTCTCCTGACAAACTACTCCACTGACCAAAGATGACAAGGCCCTGACATCCTGCTTCTGCCTTCAGAATATATAGAACTGTTGTAAAAGCTGTTCACATAGGATGCAATCATAAAAAACAAAGACTCAGGGGCTATTTTCCCCCTCCAGAGAAATCAACATCGATTTATCATCTAGCAGCAACCTCTTTCCAACTGCTTTCCTTTTCACTGTTGTTTTAAGACTTTACACTTTAAAATTTGTAATTATTTTTTGCCAAAAAAATCTAAAAGCTCTAAATTTATTCTGTATTTAGTGAAATATAAACATGATTAAAAAAAGGTTCTTCTAAACAAAATTACTTTTATGACTAAGCGGTCATACTCAGAAATTCAGAACCTGAATAGAAGAGGCCAGATTTCTGCTCTGAATTGCAGTCAGGCAGTTGCAAATGCAGCCTTCCACAATAAAACAAATTTAATTAAGTAACGTTCTACCCACGGCAGGTACAGCCATTGATTTGGATCAGAGTTTTTAGCAAATTATTTTAGCAAAATAATTGTGAGCCAGTCTTTTTTCTTAAGCATTTCTCCTTTATTACACTCTGCTCACTCTTCCATATCAACATGTATGATAAATTCATTGCTTCTGCAAAGTACGAAATTATAAACCCAAGAGAGGGAAAGAATTCTTCTGGGTATCTGCAAACACAAGCGTACTGCCAGCTGATTCTCTGTAAGGTTTCCTGTACTTTTCATCAATATGCCTTAAGCCTGACCTGGAAGATCCCCTTCAATTGATGGAAGCAAGTAATTAAGTCTCTGTGCTCATTACAACCTGTGCAATCTCATGAGCAAAGAGTGCCCTTTGAGCCAAACAGCTTGGTGGTTTTATGACAAAGACTTTTGTATTGTAAGGTTAACAATTAGAGTCAGGCAGAATGTTCTTCTCATGGGGCTTGACACTCACTGAAGTGCTACAATCACCAAATTCATTTGAAAGGAGACTGGTTTGAAACCAGTTTCTGGGAGGCAGATGGCTTTTTGATTCACCAGTTTAGTCATCTAGCCTTCCTGTTTCCCCTTTCAACTCTCACTATGCTCAGACTCCACCCTTAGGATGTGGATTGGGAATATTTGCTGTTTGTAGGCATGCATATAATAAAACTCAAATTTAGGGCTGTATTTGGACAGTAGGGGGCACAATTGCATATGCCAGTCTCAAGCAGTCCAACAAACCCTGGGGTTGGTGGAATCTGAAGCTGGTTCTGGATTTTGTGGCTGATCCATCTCACTATAATGGGCCGAAATGCTGGATCTGAACTCTCCAGACTTTGAGGTACATGAGGGGTGGGGGAACAGGAAAGGTGTAATGGTTTGACATCCAAATATTATAGCTTGTGCTTGTCTCTATATCCCACATGAGCAGCACTCAGGTTGCCTGAAGATGCCCAGGCCTTATCCTGCATTGTGCAAATGGACAGACCACACACAAATCTGCTGGGTTCCTGATTGTGAATGCCCACCAGTGTTCCAGTCACAGAAAGCCAGCATGTAGCCTATAGGAGGCCAGAATCAGGATGGAAAACTTCTACTCGTGCTGTGTCTCTGCTTGCATGTTTTGCAGTATTGACTATACACCGCTGGTAGCCAGAATCTGGCACTAAAGTTGCATTTTAAGGGGAAAATGAAAGGGTTTTTTTTTTTTTTTTTAAACTTACCGAGACCTGAGTTCAGTTCCGGTGTGTTCCTCTTGTAAGAAGCATACCTCGTTTTGTGCTACTTCGGGTGTCAGTTATGCCACCATCTCCTCCTTGGGTAGCAGACTCCTCCTGGGAGCCTGAACTTAAGTCTTTGAAGGCAAGTGAAAAAGGAACACATTTGAAACAGTTTTATTTTAACCATTTCTTCCTCAATTCTTTTTGGCAATGAAAGAATAGTATCATAGGATGAAATAATCAATGGCTGTGTGGGGTAGGAATGGGTGGTAGAACAGGGTTAATTGGACAGAGGCAGAAAATGGGAGTTAGAGCAGAGGAAGCCAAAAGGAGAAGAAAGGCTGGTGAGCGGAAACATTGGAGAGGAATGAGGCATGCAAGAAGACCCAAAAAGGAGACTTGTTGGCACATGTTGAACAAATACAACTATGCAGACAACCAGAGGGGCAGTGCAAAATACATCTGACAGATATGAAGCAGAAGTGTGGCTGGGGCAGAGAGACATGGAGCCAAACAGGAAAAGCAGTTAAAGAGTTAGCCATGATGACTAGTCCATGTGATCAAAGGGTTTGAGTGCTCTTGGAGGATTGAAAAGAAAGGTTACTTACCAGTAATAGCAGTCCTTTGAGAGCATTCCCACTGCATACTCACACTTGTGTAGGGTGACCAGACAGCAAGTGTGAAAAATTGGGAGAGAGGGTGGAGGGAAATAGGACCCTATATAAGAAAAAGACCCAAAAATCAGGACTGTCCCTATAAAATCGGGACATCGGTCACCCTAGGTGGGATGCACACCCTGGCACTGCTGAGCTTAGGAAATCTAGAAAAGTTATGCAGTCCCAACTGGCATGAGTACCTCCTTATGGTTAGAAGAGTGTATAGTCCCCAATGGCTTCAATTCCGCTAAACCCATGTCCATCAAAGAACAGAATTCGGAGGCAGAGGGAACAGTGGGTGGGGACATCAACAACACCTTTTCAGAATCACAATTGATGGTAAATAACTTCTGTTTTTTCAAAGTGGCTTGGGCATATCCCTATATGTGTGTGTCTAATCAGCAGTACAGCCCACAGGAAGGTGTGGTGAGGAATTAAATTAACCAAGGATTGAAAAACTGCCCTTTTAAAATGAACATCAGATCTAGAGGCAAAGATGAGAGAGTAGTGCTGAGTAAAAGCTAATTTTAACACAGAGATCTATGGCAGGATAGCGCCACCTCTAGAACAGCATGTCTACCACCAACTGCTTCACAGACCACTTGTGATGGTCTTGAGGGCTGTGACAACTTGTCTGCATTATATTTTCTTTATCTGCAAGGTGCGGGGGCTACAAGATGTTTTCAGTGTGCCAAAGAGTTGCTCTGAGCATCTTTGGTGGGAAGTGATTGCTCAGTGGAAGCACCCCTTGCTAACGGAAGAAGAACATTGCTCTTTTGTTGTCCATCAGCTTTATATACCATTTAAAAAAATTTGGTTAACCTTTACCAACACAAAAAAGAAAGTTAAAGGTCTGCTTTGATTTTTGTCAGATGAAAGGTTTGTTCAGTACCATATTCATCCTCATTCAGCTGCTTTGGCAGCAGAGCCATATTTCTTTGGATGAAAAAGAAAAAAAAAGAAATAGAGTTAAATTAATATTGGATTTAAGGTTGGGTCACTCCTTGCAATATCAACACATTCTCAGGGATTTACAAAGATTTGCTCTCGGCTAAAACACAAAACATAGGCAGAGAGCACATTTTACGGGGCATGAAACTTGAAGCTAATCTGTTTGGTTTTGAGCTAAACATTCCTAAAATATAAATCAGGATTTTAAATATATTTTATTACACCACTGTAATTGGGATTAGTATACATTTGTATGACAACAAAACAAGCATTTCAAATTAATGTAGAGGAAAACTGTAGGTAGGAGGGATTTTTACAAATACTGTAAGTATGTAGTAGTTTGCCAACTATAATGCTTGATTTTTAGTATATTTTGGTGGGTGTATTATTTTTAACAGTGATCTGTACAATTATTACATCTTAAAATCAGTAAAGAATTAAAATTCAAATGCTTTTAAAAGACATTTTGCAAGTCATTAGTCTCTAATTTGAACCAGACACTTTGTCTTTAAAACAAACAAATTTAAGACTAAGGAGCAATTTCATTTAACTAAATAATCATTCTACATGAGAGGCACATTATAAGCACCCAACAAACCAACAGTTTTCAGTATGAGCTCTTTCTTCCAGTGCTTAAAAGGCATATTTTAATCTTAGAAATAAGTTTAAATGTATAAACTAAAAGTTAGACTAACTATTCAGAAATATAGAAAGGAGACATCCATAACGTAAAAAAAATAAAAAATAAAAAACACCAACCAAATGAAATATAAGAAATAAAAGAAAGATGTGGATACCCACAAAAAACATTTAAAATGTTTGTGACTAAAGTGTGTGACTAAAATCAAGAAAATTCGCAGTTAAGGGTGAAACATGCCATATGTTATCCAATGCTTGGGCACAATGAGAGCACTCCTTTCACTTCTGTT